TTGCCTTCTTAATAGTTTGTTTGGGTCCCTCACTTCCGTTTCGCTTCTCATGCACTGATTTGCTAGCTGAACAGCGAATCAGAGTGATTTCTTTGACCGACAGCCTATGGCCGATTGCCTACCGATTCGATATGTTGAATCAGTAGGTTTTCGGCCAAAAAGGTGTCGGCACGGTCGAAAAGACCCAACGGTGCTGGACACACCAATCTGAGTAGGGCGACAGGACGCTCATTGTCGGCCTGACATCCATTGACGGCCAAAATCGGCTTGGTGTGACCGGGGCTTTAGGGATAAGGTGAGAAGTTCAGTCACCTGGGAGGGACTCAGAGTTGAACCGCTCCTCCTTCGCGTCGAAAGGAGCCAGTTGAGGTGGTTCGGGCACCTAGTAAGGATGCCACCTGGGCGCCTCCCTAGGGAGGTGTTCCAGGCACGTCCAGCTGGGAGGAAACCGAGGGGTAGACCTATGACCAGGTGGAGGGATTATATCTCTTCGCTGGCCTGAGAGCGCCTTGGGATCCCCCAGTCAGAGCTGGTTGATGTGGCCAGGGAAAGGAAATGTTGGGGCTCTCTGCTGGAACTGCTACCTCTGCGACCCGACAATGGATAAGCGGGAGAAGATGGATGGATAACTTTGTCAATGCATGTGTACATTTATTTATTTATCTATTCCACTGCTTATCAAGGGGACTCTGTTGAGTGCAGAGAAAATACAGCGAAAAATTGAATTTTTTACTGAAAGTGATTGGCAATATGTAATATTACTCTTGTACAGTACTTACTGTATATCAAATTGACTTAATTCTGTTAGCCACGCGTGTGTTCACTGTGCACTGACTCCGGCTCTGTTGGGAGGGTAGTGAAGTGGAACAGTAGTGATGTCAATTCCAGTCAGTGAGCATTGTGAGGAGATATGCTCACTTCTCTTCACAGTGCATTCTGGGAATTTTCTAGGGATCTGAACATGGAGTGAGCATCAGGACACTCGGTTCACTACCAAGGTACCAGTTGGAGTCACCATTCCAAATTATGATAAAAATAAACAAAACACCCTAAGTTTCATCAAAGTGTTTCCTGCTCTACAAAACGAAACTCATACGAAAACATTTCTGAGTCATGCAAAGCCGTTCCCCTCCCAACCAAAGCCAGGCTTATCTCCTCTTGTTGTTGTAATTGTCCACAGATAGCCTCACGTTACAGGTTACCGCAGCATATTGAACTGTTCTTATCAACTGTGGTTCCAGGTTTGGTTGATAGCATTGAAGTCAGATAGAAGAGTGAGTCACTGTGGTGATATTAACCAATGAGGTCAGGATTTTTTTATACATTTCAAGAAAACTGTTGCAGAAAGAGGACGTTTCCGGCACCTTTACTGTAAATACCAGTTATAATTTGGATTGGGTTCACCCACATGCTTAGAAAGCATCAGGGAAAGATTCAGGGAATAGATGATGATATGCTCACCTCAGCCGTGATCCTGTGACCAACTGATGCAATACAGCCTCTGTTAGTGTAGTAACGAGTAAAGCCGCTTTATAAATGTATGGTCACATGCTCCTGAAAATAGTTTCTCCTGTTGGGTGCAGAGACAACGTGAGCAGATTTATACTCCTTGGTAGAACCAAGGACCAAGAACCAATTTATTAATTTAGTAAAACCTATACTGGGAGCAATAATTAATTCCAATCTCATGTCCTCATGTAAATATCTGCACATTACCATGTATTTATATTACTTTTTTAATAATTTTTGACAATTAGCATCCAATTTGGCTCATCATGTAAATGTGTATTCGGCTATCTGTTGGTTACCTCAGCTTCCATAAAAATGTCCCCTGAGTGAAGCGTCTTGTTGTCTGTGTCTGCAGGACTACCGTGTGAACATCTTCCTCCGGCAGCAGTGGAATGACCCCCGGCTCGCCTACGCTGAGTACCCCGATGACTCTCTGGACCTGGACCCCTCTATGTTAGACTCCATATGGAAACCAGACCTGTTCTTTGCCAATGAGAAGGGGGCCCACTTTCACGAAGTCACTACGGATAACAAACTGCTCCGGATATTTAAGAATGGGAATGTTTTGTACTCTATAAGGTAAGTGTACAGCCCTGTTGAACTGGTGGGGGGCAGGGGTCATCATTTTATTCTCTTGAAAATGTTCATTTGAATGCACTGAGAAGCTATATTCACGGCTCAAGGAGCAGTGAGTAATGTGAACACGTGGAAATGCACTTTTCGCAATTTCATGGCTGGAGGCACACAGTGCAGTTGCTAACACGATGGGATATGGAGGAATGCATTATCTGTTGAGTGAAGACATCAGAATACTGTTTGATGCTTTGATCAGAAAAATTACTGGAGAATGTATTTGTACTTTGTTTAAACACAATATGTTTTGTAATAATACAATATATAGTAAATATTTATTTCATGATATTCATTGCATGTTCCAACCACATGCTCATAATGTACAGTAAACAATAGAACCCACAATAATGTGAAGAAAACTAATCATTAAAGACTGGACTAGACTTTGGAATAAAGTAAGAAGTTAATTTTAAAATGATACAAGAACAATCAGATCTTAATAAACATGTCAATAAGAAGCCCTGAAACAATTTTTTTGTAAAAAGCTTCAAAGATATTCAACTTAATGCTGCATTAATACAAAGTATAATAACATGTGCGGTACATTTATGGACGACCTCAAACCCTGTCACTGTCTATGACTCGTGTTCTCTCCTCTCCCTTTGCTTTCAGACTCACATTAACTCTGTCATGTCCCATGGATCTGAAGAACTTCCCTATGGATGTTCAGACCTGCATCATGCAGCTGGAGAGCTGTAAGTGCAGTAAAACTACCACAGATGTAATTGTGAGGTCCCTTATCAGCATGACCAGCCCTTTTCTCCAACCCTTGTTTCAACATATGACCTTTCAACTATTTCTCCTTCTTTAAAATATTTAACACTACTGTTGTGAAACAAATTAGTCAGTAATTGGCACACAGAGGTGTAGTGGTAAATACTCACAGGTAAACGGCGTATACACATTATTTGGTACTGGGATGTATTGTACTTAACTTAAAAATACCCACAGATGCATATCAGTGGTACTGCAGAGTACTACTGTATCTATATTACCATGTTTCATAATGTGTTGTGTTTACTGTGCACAAGCTTTGTTCCCTGACCTAGCCTTTAAGGCAGAGCCTCCTTACAGCAACGTAGCCCAGTAACACAGCACCAGCCATGTGTGAAGGACAGACTAAAAAACAATTGTCCTTTCCCTCATTCAATGGAATGATGAGCCCGTTAGAACTTTAGTAGCTGGCTAGTCTGGCACACACACAGCCAAATCTGAAGCAAACAGCTATGTATGTATGAAGCCCAGCATCTGAACGCTCTGATCCAGAACAAGGGTCTCTGTTCTCACTCGCTGTTACTTTCTTTATTCTTCACCATTGCCTCCTCCTCTGGTTTGTTATTCATCTCGTTATTCATGGAATCATAGTGGAGTCTTAACCACTCAATGACGCATATGCAGTCTATATGGGTTTGATGACAGGAGCTTCTATGTGTGAGCAGCAGGCATGATTGAATTGCTTTAAAAATAAAGCTTCTCACATCAATTTCCTACGAATCAACAATGTCAATCGCACATTGTTGATTAATAACTTATCATCACTCAGCCTGTGCTCCAGCACTCCTGCTTCAGTTTATAATTCATCTTAGTTGCGATGGCTTCTCCTGTTCCTGCCGTCAGTATCCCCTCTACCTCACTGATGTGTCTGCTGGGATCTGTCTCTTAGCCCACAGTCCCTGTGGGTAAAGATCAGCAAGCTAAAGCCACAGAGACAGATGTGTGCACGCCACTGAGTGTTGAGCACGCTGCTTGGACTCATACAGGGAGCAGAGCTTGTACCACCTACACAGACAGCACACTGCAATGACAATCTCTGACACTAATTTATAGTTAAGTACACATGTGTGGATAAAGATGTGCAAACAATTACACATATACTACTACAAATGTTTTTCCCTGTTATCCCTCATTTTATTTTGCTGCTTACCTCATGTCCCCAGCCCCCCCATTTGTATTCATCCATACATCTTATTCAATTAGCATCCTCCTCTTCCCCCTCGTGGATACAGTATTAAAGTAGACACATTGCTGTCTTTTTTTAAAGAAACACAAAGTCATGTTTAATAATGTTGATAGGGTTATGATGACTAATTAATCCTTGGTCCCATTAGGAGCGTAGTGTGGCCCAAGGGGACACATTATTTGTCTTCATTGGTTGTTTATCCTGTTCCGGCCCACTGGCCACAGGCATTCCCGTACAGAGATCCAGCTTTATTTTTGTATTTATATATGTATATATAGTGGATTATTTGTATTCCTGTGTTGATGCTGTCTCTGAAGAAACATAAAGACACACAGGCAGAGGGAGGGAGGGAGGACCAGAGGAAAGGATTCCAGTCATCACATGATGCTTGTTTCAATGTAACACTACACACAGCATATACTGGCGCTATGAAGTGAAGTGCAGATTGTTCCTGCTTAGGTTGTCTATTTTGTATACGTTACATGATTTTGTATTTGTCACCAGACTGTAGTAGTAGCAGTAGAAAGAGGAGTGTTTGAGGGGCTGCAGCTGGAGTTGTGCTGTGAGTCGACTTTCAGAGACACTGTTCCCACCAGGGTCTTTGAGACTTAAAAAGCAGAAGCTTGTGTGGAAGGCTGGGGGGAGGGTCTCCTCTGCTTGCTCTCTTGTTTGAAAATGGTATGCATGTTAAAAAAAAGAAGAAAAAAAGCCTTTTCACAAACTTTTAGCTGAAAATGTTTTGTGTGTGGCTGTAAGCTTGTACCAGCTGCTTTCTGATCTGGCCAAAGAGCCCTACAATTCACTGACTCGTTTAAAAGGAGCTCGAAGTCAGCTCCTCATACAGCTGTTTGTGAACTTTATTCCTCTTCATTCTTTTTCTCATGTGCAAGCTTCCCCAAGTATGGTCAGTGTGGTCAGAAGACGAATAAGAACAATTTATAGTGAAGGAAATAATCATTTTATCCCTTGCAGATTTTGTAAGTAACTTACAAAGAAATGAACAGTCTGTCATTGTAATGGTAGGTTTAGATACAAATATATTTGCATTTAACTGTGGGAAATAAGTATTTGATCCCCTTGCAGAACATGTGTTAGTGCTTGGTGGAGAAACCCTAGTTGGACACACAGAGGTCAGACACTTCTTGTAGTTGGTCTCCAGGTCTGTGCACATCTCAGGAAGGATGCTGGTCCACTCCTCCCTGAAGATCCTCTCCAATCTTTCAGGTTTTCAGGCTGATGCTTGGCCTCTGGAAAGCTTCAGCTCCCTCCACAGATTTTCTATGGGATTAAGGTCCGGAGACTGGCTCGGCCCCTCCCTCACCTCAATGTGCTTCTTCTTTAGCCCCTCTTGTTGCCTTGGCCGCATGATCAGGGTCATTGTCCTGCTGGAAGACCCCTCCATGACCCATGTTCAGTGTCCTGGCTGAGGGAAGGTGGCTATCGGCCAAGGTTTTTAGGGTACATGGCCCCGTCCATCCTCTCCTCGATGCAGGGAAGTGGTCCTGTCCCCCTAGCAGAGAAACACCCCCAAAAGCAGAATGTTTCCACCTCCATGCTGATGGTGGGGATGGTGTTCTGGGGTTATAGTCAGCATCTCTCTTCCTCCAAACACCGTGTGTCGAGTTGATGCCAAAGATCTCGATGTTGGTCTCATCCGACCACATCCTCTTCTACCAAGCCTTCTCTGAATCATTCAGAGGTTTGTTGTCAAACTTCAGATGGCCTCTCATGTTGTTCCTGAGCAGGGGGGGGGGCCTTCAGGCACTGCAGGATTTGATCCATTATGGTGTAGTGTGTTACCAATAGTTTTCTTGGTGACTGTGGTCGCATCTTCCTTGAGATCATTAACTGTTAAGCCCGAGAGGACCCTAATCCGGGTCTGGCCGGTAGTTTTTTCACGAAACTGTGTCTCAGGGCTTCTTAATATTTAAAAACCTATTAACCTGTTAAGCCCTGAGCCTGTTTTTCAGGTCTCAGGCTCATTCCCAGAACAAATGACCATATCTTCACTTCTAAAAGGGTTAAATTAATAATATTTTTCTCAAAGCAAGGTTACATCTGTGAGGATGTAGAAGTTTCAGAATCAATATAGATCTTTTTATTTTAAAGTAAATTCAGATTGAAAATTATAGCGTCCGTCCAAAAATAAAACATTACTTATAGTGAAAACCACCCTTGAATGATGGGATAGTAGACTAAAAGCTTTAGGAATCCACACTATAACATATAATAAGTACCCTGTATCAAGATTGATGCAAAACAAGTGAAATTTGACCTT